ATCCATTTGAGTTAATATTGGTATAGGGTGATAAACATGGATCTAGTTTCAGTTTTTTGCAGACTGCTATCCAGTTTTCCCAGCAGTTTTTGTTGAAGAGGCTGCTTTTTCTCCATTATATATTTTTAAAGCCTTTGTCAAAGATAAGTTGGTTAGAGTTGTGTGGCTTCATATCCGGGTCCTCTACTGTGTTCCACTGGTCTTCATGTCTGTTTTTGTGCCAGGACCATGCTATGCTGTTTTTATTGCTATTGCTTTGTAATATAGTTTGAAGTTGGGTATTGTGATACCTCCAGCGTTGTTCTTTTTGCTGAGTATTGCCTTGGCTATTCGTGGTCTCTTGTGTTTCCAAAAAAATTTGACGGTAGATTTTTCAATGTCTTTGATGAATGTCATGGGGATTTTGATGGGAATTGCATTAAACATGTAGACTGCTTTTGTGACTATAGCCATTTTTACTATGTTGATTCTACCAATCCATGAGCATGGGAGATCTCTCCACTTTCTGTAGTCTTCCTCAATCTCTTTCTTTAGGAGTTTATAGTTTTCCTTGTAGAGGTCACTCATATCCTTTGTTAAGTTTACTCCTAGGTATTTGATTTTTATTGAGGCTATTATAAATGGAATTGTTTATTGAGGGGGTGGGGGGGAGAAGGAGGGGGCAGAGTGGGTGGTAAGGGAGGGGGTGGGACAGGGGGGAGAAATGACCCAAGCCTTGTATGCACATATGAATAATGAAATAAAAATAAATGGAATTGTTTTCATACATTATTTCTCAAGTTTGTTCATTATTAGTGTATAGAAATGCTAGTGATTTTTCCATGTTGAGTTTATATCCTGCTACCTTGCTATAGCTGTTGATGGTGTCAACAATGCTGAGTATAGTTTTTGGGTCTTTAAGGTATAGGGTCATGTCGTCTGCAAATAGGGATATTTTGACAGTTTCTTTACCTATTTGTATTCCTTTTATTCCTTCTTCTTGCCTAATTGCTCTGGCTAGGAATTCCAGTACTATGTTGAACAGGAGTGGATAGTGGGCATCCTTGTCTGGTTCCTGATTTTAGAGGGAATGGTTTCAGTTTTGCACTGTTAAGTATAATGCTGGCTGTAGGTCTGTCATATATAGCTTTTATAATGTTGAGGTACTTTCCTTCTATTCCTAGTTTTCTTAGAGCTTTTATCATAAAATGGTGCTGGATCTTATCAAAGGCTTTTTCTGCATCTATTGAGATGATCAAGTGGTTTTTGTCTTTACTGCTGTTAATGTGGTTTATTACATTTATTGATTTTCATATGTTGAACCACCCCTGCATTCCTGGGATGAAGCCTACTTGGTTGGGGTGAATAATCTTTTTGATGTGTTGCTGAATTCGGTTTGCCATTATTTTGTTGAGGATTTTTGCATCAGTGTACATTAAGGAGATTGATTGGCCTATAGTTCTCCTTTTTGGAGGTGTCTTTGCCTGGTTTTGGGATAAGTGTAATACTGGCTTCATAAAATGTGTTTGGCAGTTTTCCTTCGCTTTCTATTTCGTGGAACAGTTTAAGGAGGGTTGGTATCAGTTCTTCTTTAAAGGTCTGATAGAATTCAGCAGAGAATCCATCAGGTCCTGGACTTTCTTTTTTGGGAGACTCTTGATTGCTGCTTCAATTTCATTTTGTGTTATAGATCTATTCAGGTGATTAATGTCCTCTTGGTTCAGTTTTGGATGATCATAAGTATCCAGAAATCTGTCCATTTCTTCAAGATTTTCAAATTTTTTTGAATATAGGTTCTCAAAGTAGTCTCTGATGATTTTCTGGACTTTCATGGTGTTTGTTGTTATCTCCCCTCTTGTATTCCTGATTTTACTGATTTGGGTTTTTTCTCTCCTCATTTTAGTCAGGTTTGCCAGGGGTCTATCGAACTTGTTTATTTTTTCAAAGAACCAACTTTTTGTTTCATTAATTCTTTGCATGGTTTTTTTGGTTACTATTTCATTGATTTCAGCTCTTATTTTTATTATTTCTCTCCTTCTATTTGTCTTGGGATTTGCTTGTTCTTGTTTTTCTAGGAGTTTGAGCTGTATCTAGGTAATTGATTTGAGGTCTTTCAGTCTTTTTGATATATGCACTCATGGCTATAAACTTTCCTGTCAGGACTGCCTTTGCTGTGTTCCATAGGTTCCGGTAGGTTGTGTTTTCATTTTCATTGACTTCCAGGAACCTTTTAATTTCCTCTTTTATTTCATCAATGACCCATTGTTCATTAAGCAATGAGTTGCTCAGTTTCCAGCTGTTTGCATGTTTTTCGTCTTTATTTTTGTTGTTGAGTTCTAGTTTTATTGCATTGTGATCAGATAGAATGCGTGGTATAATTTCTATTTTCTTACATTTGCTGAGGCTTGCTTTGTGCCCTAGGATATGATCTGTTTTGGAGGAGGTTCTGTGGGCAGCTGAGAAGAATGTATATTGTGTAGAAGTTGAATGAAATATTCTGTAGACATCAACTAGGTCCATTTGATCTATGGTATATTTTAGATATTGGATTTCTTTATTGATTTTTTGTTTGGATGACCTATCTATTGATGATAATGGGGTGTTAAAGTCTCCCACGACCACTGTGTTGGAGTCAATATATGCTTTTATGTCCTTCAGGGTATGTTTCATGAAATTGGGTGCATTGACATTGGGTGCATATGTTAATGGAGTTTTAACAGGCAATGTGATGGGGTAACATGTGGGGGATCTGAAGATGACCAGATGCTTTGGTTTTGTCTTACTTCCCCTTTAGTCTGTGCAGCTGCTGTGACTGTAAAAGTAAAGCAGAAGGGATACTATGCCAGTTCCTGGTTCCAGTGTCATGAGCTTGGCAACCTCCACTTCCTGTCTCTTAGAACCGTCCCCTCCTGCAGCCTGATTAGTCAGGCAAGAGGAACTACAGCTCAGATGCAGGGAGAGTGAATTCTACTGCGCTCAGGGCACCACTTGGACCAGGTGCCACGTCAGGACCCCTCAGAAGGCAAGAGCCAAGCCAGTCAATCTCTGTGATACCACCTGGTACTCTGCAGTCTCCAATGTGGATGATTTTTGTTTTTAACTTTGGTCAAGTTTTTCCACAGGAGATAAATTGCAATAATATAAGTTTATTAAATTTCAGAATCATTAGAAGAAAATGAAATCTCCTTTTCAGGAAAAACTACTTTAAGAATCCATCTCAGACTTTTAAAAGTTACATATATGCATGTCATTAAATCTTTCCTTAAGAATTTCTACTCTACTGTCTGATCTTAAAGCAAAAATCCATGCCATAAGATTACATTTTATCACTATAAGGAAACCAAAAATTATAATAGTAAATGAAAGTCAGTGAACATTAGAAGCTGAACCTTAACTGTCTAAGGAGGGAGGGTTCCATGTATTAAAACAATCCCCTCCACCTATTTGCATTGAGAGATCTTAAGGGGTCTGGGGAAGGGGCCAATCAATTAAGGGGTCAGCTGTTATTCTGAAAGGTATTTCATAAATTTTTCATTTCCCAGAAGGGAGAAGAAAAATTCCAACTGGGCACCAAATATACATCTTAAGGTATGGGGTTCTCAGATTTACACATATTGAGCAGGTAAGAAAAAATATTTTTTAATCACTGCTATAGGTTCAATTTATTTTCCCCATACCTTGTGTTTAAACTACAAGGTAAAAGTAAAGGAATAAGAGATGTCAATGAAAGTGCCACTTGCCATACATTCTAAATGGAACACATAAAAGAAAAAAATTCTCAAATTATAGCTTTCATTGTCCAACTGCTACTTTAAATATGTATTTTAGGGGGGAAAAAGAAATTACCCATATTCCCTCTACCCTCACAAAACTGGCTTCATTTTTCCATGTTGACGTCTAGCTTTTACTACCTTGTCCGGGAGTTTATTTTGGGATTTATAGTTTATTAGGCAGTTAAAATCACTGCCATATTCCTCAACTTGGCATATCTTGTGAGTACAATTCACCCTTTGGGTCCTGAAAGAAATGTCCACTGCAACTTACAGAAGAGTGGGAAAAAAAATTATCCCTTTGAAATGCTCTACTTTGCCTGACAGTTTGAAAAGGCAAATTAAACCAGGCAATTCAAGGCCATTTGGGGACAAAGCAAGGCACCCAAGTCAGCAGGTTTGAGATTGTGAGCTATCCTGAAGGCCCCAGAGCAGGGCCAAGGCCAAGCTCAGGGCTACCACTATTGGCTGCAGTCCTGCATGCCCACCCTGCAGCTCAGGATGTAGAGAGCTGGTCTGGGAAGCCATTTGCTTCTGGCCCAGCTGAGAAAGCTCCTCTGTGCTTTTCAAGCAAGCACTAGAGAGAAATAGGACAGATGCAGGAGCACTGAGAAACCAGAAAGCTTTCTATTCAAAATTGTCCATTTCTGTGTTTGTTTTACAGTGCTAGGGCCTCACCTCAGTCATGCTAGGCAGGCCTCTGCCCCTATGCCACATCCTCAGCCCTCATTTGGGATAAGGGTCTGCTCCCACACTCATCCCTATGTCCATCAGCTAATAGCCCCCCCCACACACTGCTAGCAGGCCAATACCCCAGTAGAGTTCTGTCCTCCCTGGAAGGGAGGGGCGGCACTCCTGGGGACAGGGACCCCAGAGCACATGGCAGTCTGCATGCCTGTGCAGGAGACCCCACTGCAGTCCAAAAATGTCATCTCTCCCATTAGACCCTTTAAAAAGAGCAAAACAGGCAGTGGGTGTTTAAGCATTTATCTGTTTCAGATATTAGGAGTGTCTGTAAAAACCCAGCATTCACAAAAGCAAAGATGCCAGAATGAGTTTTAAATAAACACCACAAAGAACAAGAAAAGAATTTCTCAATATACAGTACGAATACACTTCAGCAGAAACTAAAGCGGTTTCTTTGTGAACTCTAAGGGGAAACTGACCAAATTTCAGTTTGGTGGAGAGGAAACCTTAATAACTGAGTCCTGGGCAAAGAATCAAAAATGACATTAAAATAAAAGCGCTTACCTGCTATCATGGTAATAAAGAGGAGATGGAATAAAAGGCACCTTAGGAATGAGCTCACTAATCAACAAGACAGAGGTGTCACAACCCACCAGGGCTAGACTACAGAAGTGTGACAGCAGGCTCTAAGGATTAATGGCATTGTTTTTTGAACTCCTGAGCTGTCCATTGTACTTGAGGTGGCAAGATGGCAGGCCTAAGGGAGGGGAATGAGTAATATTGAGTTTATTTTTCTTATTAAAACATCTTTAGTACACCCAACTGATTCCTCAACTGCTTCCTGGTATTGTTAGACCAGTGTGTAGTATGTCTGTGTGTGTGGTGCAGTGTGTGTGTGTGTGTGTGTGTGTGTGTGTGTGGTGTGCTGTGTGCACATGCCATGTGTGATGGCGTGAATATGTGTACTGTATGTGGTGTGTGTGGTATGCATGATGGTATGTACATGTGTGTGTGTGACATATGTATGTTTGGGTCTATTATGAACGTGTAGTGTGTGTGCTGCACATGGTCTGAGTATGTACATAGTATGCATGGTGTACGGGGTGTGTGCATCACATAGCGGGTGTGTACGTATGGCGTGTAAGGTGTGTAGTGTGGATGTGTACGTATGACTGGGCAGTGTATGGATGTGGTATGAGTGGTGTGTTTCTATGCCTGTGAGTGGGCCAGTACATATGTGTCTATCTTGTAGGGATGGTGTGTGCTGAGGGGCTTAGCAACCAGAACCGCTTTTCTCAGCAGATGCCGTAACACTTACCTGGAGATCAATATGTGTTCAATGCAACGCCCCTTTCTCAACTACCTTATATTTTGGACACAAATGACTGAAAGCATATTCCTCTTTATTTACAGGCATGTTTCCTTCACTTGCTCACCAAAAGGTTTGGGTGACTTGGCACCACCCATCACTCTGCCCGAAGTGCCTATCCACCCCCTGCAATCGTGCTGGCCAATGTCTCCTCCCTAGCACCCAGCAGTACACCTCTAGAGGCAATACCATGCTGACAAAGGCTGAGTGGGTCCAGCCATCCTGGCAAGTGAGGTGGCAGGCATGGGGGGGAGGGGCAGATAATAAAATAATGCTACTTGTATGGGTGGCTTATAGAAATCAGACAGAACGTGAGTAATTTAGAGGAAAGCCCACCAACTGCACAGGGCTATGTGTGTGATCTCATTAAAACATCACAAGGATCCATTCCTCCTCCTTTTCTTAGCCTTCTCCTAGTTTCCAAGCGCAGGCCCATGACAAAAACAAATGCTGCATATTCCAGACTTGCCCACCACATAACTGCCTCCAGGAGTCCCCAATTCATGAAAAAGCCTTCACAGGGTAGAAATGTCTGATATTTTCCTTCCAGCTTTCACACCAAACGAGTTCCCCTCCCTCAGGCCTGGGGCCACAGGGCAGCCCGGGCTCCCAGAGGTGGGCCTGCTCAGGAGCTGGATGGGCCCAATAGCCAGTCAGCCTATTTCTGGGCCCCCCCAACAGCACCTGCCCTATACCATTAACAGTCAGTATTTGCCATAGGCCTGGTGAATAAGGCAAACTCAGCAACAAGTAGGACTGTTAAGGAAGCAATGATCAGCAACAAATGCCAGCATAAGCTTCTCTCTTTTCACCTCTCTCCCAAGCTCCACAGGCCCATCTAGAATGAGGTATCAGAAGCCCCTTGTTCCTAAACCCAAACCTGAGATGCACAATCTGAGAGCCACTAAACTCCCTATCTTTACTTCACTGATGAACCACTTAGCTGCTTCCATTTTGTTGTACTTCAAACAAATGAAAATACTATAGGAACGGGACCATAGGCTGTAAGGATTACTTGAAGACCTTGTGTCCACCTACTAAAGACAAATTGAAATGCTTCCTTAAAGATAACACGGCAAAGGATGTAGGGGCTGAGGAGGCATCTTTTGGGTCTGATCCTACCCACTATTTGCCTATCAGCTGAAGGTCGTCCAGCTCATGCTTCCTTTATCCTCAGTTTATAGAGCAGCATGCAACAGAATGCGGATGGGTCTGAATACATAACCTGAAACCCATGAGTGTTCACTCCCAAGGCAGCGTCTCAGTCCCTCCATTCTGAATCTACAGAAAACTACATTTTCTGGAGCTTGACCAAAAACTGAAAACTTACAGTGGTCCTTTCATTAAGCTACGTATCTTTTTTTGCCACATTGACACTTCAAATGCTCTTCTACCAAGTAGGCATTAATAAATCCTCTAGGTCTCAGAATGTACCTTCACCCAAACTCCCACAGGACAGTCCCTCTTCACCAGCTAGGCTGGGTCCCGCCACACTCTAGCAGAGGCCCACAGGTAGTCTAGATATTAATTTTGGCTCAGTGCTGTACAAAAAATGGATTTTTTCTATCAAAGTATCTGTTACCCTCTTAGATTACTTAAAAATTCCTCAGGTCACCATCTTAGGTGACTTGCATGTTTAAAGGGTCCTTGCTTCTTCTTTCGGATTCCTGTACAACTCCAGTGCCTGACAAACTGCATGCCCTAATCCATCCCCAAGCCTTTTAGTCAATCGGGAAATACTGTGAACCTTTGACCTGGACAAATCCCAGGTGAGGGGCAGGTACAACTGCATCAGGGATATAAGGAGGAGCCACTGTCAGCCATTTTGTGCTTGCCTGTTTGCTTAGCTGGAGTGAGCACATGCTTGCACCCTCTTGATCAAGAGAAAATTGCCTTGTCAAGATTTTCTGTCTCTCATGTGTCTGTTTTCGGCACTGGAGGGTTATCAATTCCAACAATTTGGTGGCTCGGTCTGGGATTTTACATTCCATCAGGGAAGAGGGTCCCAGCCCTTCCCCGGGGAGATGAGTCCTGCTGCCTGCCTGTGGCAGCCCCGAGGTTCTGCCAAGGATGACAACTTTCTGGATGAATTTGGACTGCAGAATTTCTTGACAACGCAGGTAAAAGAGCTTTGAAGACAGGTAAGTTTTGTGCACAAACCAAGACAAGTCTTGGTGGTCGGGACACTGGAGGCTGTGTGATGTGTGAATGAGATGTGTTGGGTGGCACGCAGGGAAAGCGGAGTCCTGATCCGCAGTTCTGAGGCAGCAACATACTGTTTAAGGTGGAATTAGATTCTTGAATCTAATCCAGGTCAGCAGAAGGATGAGGGCAGAGACAGACAAAGCAAAAAAGAATCAGAGTGCAAGAAACCTCCAAGGCAAAGGGGGCGGGGGGAGTTTGAGCTCCTGATAAGACAGAGCACAGTCAACCAGAAGGGTGAAATGGGAAATAAAGGCAGCAAAGGGGGAGGCCAGAAAACAAAGGCCCAGGACAAAATACCCTCTGAGAGCCCCCTAGGGAAGATGTTAAAATATTGGGATGATAACCCCATACTAAAGGAAAAAGAAACAAAGAATGGTTAAATACTATTGTTTTATCTGAACCCAAGAACTGATCTTAAAGCCTTTGGTTTTTATTTTGGTCAAAAGTTGGGTCTGAAGAGGTCTGGGTCTGTCAACTATTAAATTGACCATGTTAACGACACAAGCTCAGTCACTCAAGAGGAGATGAAATATGCCCTCTGTTGGAGACAGAGTCCTGTAGTACTGTTTCCACAAAAAAAAAAAAAAAAAAAAACCCTTTCTAACTGGGATTTACTCTCCTCCTTCCCTTCTCCTTTTGCCTGCTCTTCCCTCCTGCTCAGGCGCCAGAGCCGGTCCCAGCCCTGACCTCCAGGCTTCCACCCCTCCACCTCCACCCCCTTCACCTCCCAGCCCCTCAGACTTCTGCACAAAATTACAAAAACTAGAAAACTGGAAAAATAGATCCACAGAGGAATTATTAGGAGAAGCACAAAAGGTATATGTAAGGAGAGAGGAAGAAAAACAAAAAGCAAAGATTATGTTATCCACGATCCAGCAGGTTAATAGGGGAAGGTCAAATCAGTATCCTATCAGACAGCAGGTTAATAGGGAAAGGCCAGACCAATATCCTATTGGACCTCAATCAGCCTGGCCTCCCTCATGGGGTATAAGAGACCAGAAAGTCAGAAGATGAAACAAAGAAGAGGGGAAAATAAGTGCTTTAAGTGTGGGGAGAATGGACACTTTAAGAGAGAAAGTCCAGAATGGGAGAGAGTAAGGAAACCGTTCCCTTAATGACCTTTGATGAAGAATAGGGGAGTCAGGAGTTCTTTTACCTTGAAGGGTCCCACTCAGAGCCCTTGATAAATTTAGAAGTGGGACCACAATGTGAAATTGTCACCTTCCTGATTGACTCAGGTGCTTCCAGATCCTCCCTCTGTCTTCTGCCCAGGGGCTGAATCTATTCCCCAGAGAGGTACTAATTTCTGGGGTAAAGGGAGAAAGCTTTTCAGTTAAAATATTACAAGAAACAGATGTTTATTTCCAAGACAGGACCACTAAGATACAATTTCTCCTAGTCCCTGAGGCAGGTACCAACCTATTTGGAAGAGATCTAATGACCCGATTAGGAATCGGTTTACATGTAAAAAGGGGCTAAAATACAAGCAAACCCTTATCACAGCTCCAGTGCTAGCCTTGTCCTCTCTTGAACAGCCTTTTCACCTTTGTCAATGTAAATAAGGGCGTTGCCCTCGGGGTGCTAACCCAAAAACATGGGGGTCAACGTCAAAGTGTGACCTTCTTATCGAAATTCCTAGATCCTGTCACCTGAGATTGGCCTGAGTGCATCCAGGCAGTAGCAATTACAGCCCTTCTAACCGATGAAAGTAGAAAAATCACCTTTGGGGGAGACCTAAATATTAGCACTCCCCATCAAGTTAGGACAATCTTAAACTAGAAGATGGGTAGATGGCTGACAGATTCCAGGATCCTAAAGTATGAGGCTATGTTATAGAAAAGGATGACCTAACTTTAACTACTGATGAGGCCCTAAATCTAGCCATTTTCTTGGCAGGAAGGCAGGAGCCCCCGAACATAAATGTTTAGATATTATTGAATATCAAACAAAAGTGAGGCCAGATCTCAGGGAAACTCCTTTCCAGACCAGGTTCCATTTCA